TGTGTGTGTGTGTGTGTGTATGTGTGTGTGTGTGTGTGTGTGTGTGTGTGTGTGTGTGTGTGTGTGAGCTTAATTCTCAGTAATCATACCATCGATGTAAAGCAGTTTATATGTGTATGGGATAAAGTGCTGCATGAATGCAATCTATTATTTTCATTATCAAAAGAGTTGTAAGTTAATGATTTATTAGTCGCCAATCCTTCAAACAATCTGATAATACCCGAACAATTATGGTTATGTAAAGGAAAAGGAAGAACGGTTTGCAAATATACAAATACATAGGTAAGAGGAGCAGACCAAAGAAGAACACCCAGCAACCACCCACAACCTACCTTGGCAGGGTCCGTCAGTGTATGAGGTGTCATCAATAGCTATGTCACTGTGATAGCCGTCTCCTCTGGTTGCCGTTATCTGGAGCTGAGGATAATCACAGATGGGTCTAAATAAATAACAAGTTTACACTATTGTACTATTGTACAAGATATCCGGAGCAGATAAACAACAAGTTTGCAATAATGCGCTATTGAGGTGGGTAGCTGTCACTGAGGATAACCATAAACGGGTCCAAATAAACAATAAGTTTGCAAATATTTTGTTGTGGAGCTGAAGATAATCATAAAAAGGTCCAAATATGAAAGCAGTAAGTAATATTATACTTCTGTTAACTCAATTTTGAGGAGTTATACCCAAATATAATGACATGTTCTATTGCCAAAGTAACAGAGTGTAGTATGCTTGTGATGGCCTTCCCTTCCTCTTCCACCTCCCCTATACTCCTTTTGTGCCTCCTCTTCCTCTTCTCCTTTCCTTTCCTGCCTCTTTCTTCTCCTCCTCCTTCTCCTCCGCCTCTACCTTTGAAATCTAAGTCTTTGACTCCGCCAGGCACCTCTTTGAAAAGTGACATATGATGTAGTTTTACACTGAGCAATGAAAGTATATCATATCTTTAGTTTTAGTTTTAGTAGAGGTATTACGGCGCTCGCAACTGCATAAGGTCATATGAGCGCCAGAAGATTAGAGGTGTTACAAGAGAGTAACAAACATAAAAAAGAAAAAGGGGAGATAAGGAAGATAGATGTTTGATAGGAAAGAAGAAGCAAACCACACCAGAGCATCCACCAACCACCCACATATCATATCTAAAAAGACGTTAGACTTCAAACACAAAAATCTTACTGAGAACTGCGTTGGGTAGGTATTCCCAAACTCCACGGACATTTTGCGCCATTTGTCACCCTGCTCTCTCTGCTTGGTCCAGATGATCGACTGACGCCCCGCGGCCACGGTGGACACCTGCAGAGTGCCCACATTTGACCCGTGCATAGAGTACCAGAGGGAGAAACATTTGGTCTGTCCGGCGGGACGGGTCAGGACCGGGCTTGTCAAGGTGGCCTTCATGCCCAGAGTAGAGTTGCTGCCCTCTATGTACAAGTAGTAGCCGTCTGTACAGTAGGGCAAAAGAAGAGAGACTTAGGTTTAATCGTGTTTGTTAAATGAACAATTTTCCTTTTAGGCATTTTAGTATCTCTTAAAAAGTTGTCGTTGTTATTGCCTGTTGTTGTTGTTATTGTTGATGTTGTTGTTATTGTTGTTGTTCTTCTTCTTGTTCTTGTTCTTGTTATTGGTAGTGGTAGTAGTAGTGGTTGAGTTGTTATCACTGTTATAGTTATTAATGTAGTTTTTATTGTTCTTGATGTCTTGTTCTTGTTGCTGTAGTTGAGGGCGTTATCTTCATTGTATTTCAAAGGGGAGAACAAAGGGCTATTTCCTTTCCATTCTTATAATCAAAGAAATATAAATCTTTCATACGACCACTAGTAAACTTAAACCTTCAAATTTTCTAGTAACTGAGAAACATAGAAATTTTGTCGGTCTACAGTGTATCCCCCAAGTGTCACACTCATCATAGGTCAAAACAAACTAACTCTGAACATGACAAAAATCAAGTAGACCTACCAATGGAAGGCTCAGTCATGGACAAGATAAATAAAAACAGCTATTTTTCTTTTCTATTTTCCTCTCCAGCTTACATAGACGTGCTATAAAGGAACCAAGACGATGCAGCTAAAGAGAAAAAGGGTAGACTTACTGCCGGTGTGATCAGCTTGAGGTCCAGTGTCGGTGGATGCTGTTCGGCCTTTCTGTCGGAGCCAATCAAAGCTGTCGCTCTTGCTCTGGTTCCATCCACATAAACCAGTGTCAAATGTACATGTTACAACAGCATCTGAAAATAGACCAAGATTGGTTGCAGAACTCTACGATGTTCTTCTTGTGTTCTTGTCGTTCTTGTTCTTGTTGTTCGTAAAATATTTCTACACAGGTAAGGAAGAATGAAATTGGCCAATCATAAATGCTTTTCCAGTATGCACCAAGCAACTTCTCTTCGAGTATGAAGAGACACGTTAAGGCAGGCTAATGTTTTGTAGCTGTGATCTAAAAAAGCTGACACTGATAATGCTAGTGGTGCAGAAGTCAATTTTTTCCACTGACCAATCAACATCTGGCAACAAAAAGAAGATGGCTGGAACACAGGATGATTTTTTTTTAAATTTTAAAACCGTTTTTTGAAAATAAATGTACATTGTCTTTGGTTAAATGTAGCCCTGCCCGTGGAAAAATAACACAATCCGATGATGTTATACCCTTGAAAATGTTCAGTATTTGAACAAATTTGATTTAAATGATGAAAGAAGGTACAAAAGTCAGCTCACAGAACAGTTATACTATTTATAGTAGCATGCTGACTCCTGATTTTATTGAAGAACAGCCAATAATCGACCTTGCACTGGTTTTAGACATAAGAAAAAAAGAGCTGAGCTAATGACTTCCAACTACATAGATAAAGTATAACATCACCGATCTGTGTTTTAGATCTGGACGTGAATCTACAAGGATACATTTCTCATAACCGGATATTCACACAAATAAACAAAACTTGCTTGCAAATGTGAAGGTAATATGAAAGTAGCCTCCTTCAAGATTCTTTGGGAGACATAAAGGGCACAGGCTCAATATTCAAGTCAATCACAAAACATCTTATTCAATTTCAAGCTGAGGCAAAGGGCTTTCCTGCTCTGTGTCTGTGTAAGTGTTGTACAATGGTAGAACATGGCTTCGCTGTTCCTCAAGTCATAAAACTAACATAAGTAAGTACTGCTTTATTTTATTTTCTCTTAGCAACAAAAAATGAAGGAGTCAGATGAAAAAACCTTTTAAGTCGTGTTATGAATGTAATAATATGAGTTCTCACCTGCCAATTACATAGATAAAGTATAACACCATCGATATGTGTTCTAGGTCTGTATGTGAATCTACAAGGGCACATTTCTCATATTGACATAAGTAAGTATTGGTTTTTTTATATTTTCTCACAGCAACAAAAAATGAAGGAGTCAAAGGAAAATAACGTGTAAGTCCCGTTATGAATGTAATAATATGAGTTCTCACCTGCCAAAGGTGCCTTTGTAGACTGTGAGGTGGTGGTGCTGGGCGGCGTGCTGGTGGCTGGCCCTGCCACAGTCACTGGGCCAAACGTGGGCACGGCACTGCTCGGGGTCACTGGGACAAGACCAATCACGGATAAACAACAAGTTGACAGACAGAGACGCTTGACATACTTTTGATTCAAGTAAAACTCAGCTCTGGTCATTTTTTATCTTTGACTTTAGAGATATAAGTAGATTTACGTCAGAACACAATGTAATTAATGTTTATGTGTTGATACGTGTATCAATAAAGTGCCAAGAGCCTGTATTTTGGCTCTAGTATGATAACAAATGTGATATTTTTTGCAAAAAATTTATAGAATCCCATTATTTTAAATTGACCAGCTGTTTCAGCAGACCACATAAAACTCAATAAAGAGTAGCATTAAACCCCCAGGCCATAGTTTTCCCCTTCCCAGATCTAGAAGGAGATATGTGAGGCAGCGTGGTGAAATCAGGCACTCGTCAAAATACGGGAATCAGAGAAACAGACATTTTTCCGCCAGTTTGGACATTTTTATCACTTTTTTTTTGGCTTAACCTCTTTTTTGTTCATATAAAAACACATTTCCATGTGAATTTTACTGAAACACATTGATCAAAGGCCATTTTTCAGTTTTGATAGACTCTTTAGCCATTAGATATACCAAATTTTGGTGGCCATTTTCTCGCTAATTTCACCACTGAAACCAGGCGACCTTACTTCCTTCAATCGCAAATATCTTGAGTTCTATTCAAGACAGATGGATATTTATTTCATTGGAAGCAAGGCAAATAAATAAGCTTTTAGATGACACCTTTAATAACTCCACATGCCCCCAAAAAACGAGTGCCTGATTCCACCGCGTCGTGACACATATATGTTCAACCGACCTGCACAGTTACTGGTGGTATCAAAGGTTATATCATCCAGAGCGATGTCTCCATTCCATGACGGACCTCGAACACCTTCAAAGATCACCTAAAAGAGACAGAAAGAGATTCTCATTAAAGCAGCATTGGATAGACACTGGAATGTTTGAGGTAGTATTCCTTCTTCACTTTCATTAAGTTTTAATGATTAAGTATAAAAATTACTCACTTATTGATGGTAACTCTCCCTCCCTCCTTTCCCTTCCCATCTCCCTTCCTCCCTTCCTTTCTATCTCCTTTCCTCCCTCACTCACTCTCTCTCTCTCTCTCTCTCTCTCTCTCTCTCTCTCTCTCTCCCTCTCTCTTTCTCTCACTCATAAATCCATCTCCACATTTTGCTCCAAGTATCACATAGGTGTACTATCAAACATGCAGCCAAATAATTACTTCAACACCATTTTATAGGGAACAAAATTAATCCGCCTGTCGCTTAAAATGTTGAATGGAACTAATTTCCGGGTTGAAAAGTTACAACAGTGCAAACATAATTTTTGTATTTGGAGCGAATTCTTATGGCCCAATCAGTCTGGTTATGAAGTTCTTAGAAGCAGATATTTTGTAAGCACTATAATTATAACCAGACAATAATAATGCAAATAATTTCTATGGCACCCACTCCCGTAAAATACATCTGCATGAACGGGATATTATCTTCATCTTAACAAAAAATACATCTGCATGAACGGGATATTATCTTCATCTTAACAAAAAATACATCTGCATGAACGGGATATTATCTTCATCTTAACAAAAAA